AAAAGCCCAGCTGATGTTATGGGCTCTGGCTCCTCGCTCATGCACTTTTTCAAATAATTGAAATCAAAAGCTTCGAGGGTGGTGGCGTAACCAAGGGTCTTCGCATCCTTGGGCGATTGGTGGGCCTCAATCTTGGAGGACGGGTCCGACGGGGGAGCAACTGTTGAACTGTCTTGAAGGTCTTGGGTGATGGCCTGATGTGCAGTCCTGTAGCGACCAGCTCGACCTGCAATCTGCTTGACCTCAGAGACCGACAACGGCTGCATATGTTGACCGTTACTCTTAACAACGGACTCAAAGATGACACGTTTGATGCTTCTGGTCGAGGTTAGCATGTGCGGACTGGGCGAGCGAGGGTTCGGCGTACAAGTTCAAGCCCATGCCGACTGCGTCGCTGGCAACCAGAAAGTCATACTCGTTATCCGGATCATTGAAGAGTCGGGCCTGCTGCGCGCGCGTCTCAGGTGGAAGACTGCCGTAAACGATGGCACACTTTCTCCCAGTAGCCTTTTCAACTGCCTTCCGTAGCGCATGTATGCCCAGCACAGAAAAGGAGACGATGCAGTCGCCCTTTTGCAGATTTTTCGCCAGCTGGCCGTTCAAACTTTTGTCGGCCACGGCAAGCGGGGTGAGACGCTCATACTCGTGCACTTCTACCTTGTCACCAACCAAAGCACACAGATCCTTCATCAGCGGTACTGTGCGCGCTTCGCCGCAGAGGTGGATTTCCTTAGCCTGCAGGCCGAGGAAAGCTTGAGTCCATGCCCATCCACGGTCCTTGTTGCCGATCATTTGAATTTCGTCAATGACAGCAACGTCCAGTTCTTGGTTCAGGGGCGCCATCTCGACAGTACAACTCCACATCTGGGTTTCGCCTTCCGGAAATCTTTGTTCCTCGCCCGTCACCAGAGCACACGCCTTGCCCTTGGCATTTAAACGAGTGTAGACCTCGTGTGCAAGCAGACGCAGCGGGCCAAGGTATATGCCTGTATTCGCTTCTTCCAGGCGCTTCAGAGCACGGTATGTCTTTCCTGAGTTTGTCGGTCCTACGTGTAGATGTACGGTACGAGACATGGCTCTGGTCGCGGGATACCACTCATGCGGGTAGCGCAAGTCGGCTACGGCTTTCTGATTCTCGATTTCGGCAAGGGTGAACTGACTACCGAAGATCTGGGCGTAGAAAAGATGGCGCATGCGCTCTTGTACGGAACCGCGGCGGCCGAGGAGAGACACAGCCTCTGGCGCAGCACGCTTGTGCCAAAGCTGGACAGATTTTGTGAACTGCTTCCATTCCTGATCAAATCTTGACCGTGTAAGCGCGAGGCTCTGCAGCACCTCGGGATCGCTCAACTCGGCTCGCAACTTTCCCAAGGCGATGTACACTACTGTGGGAACCAAACTGGGACCCAGTTTTTCCCCAACATTTTCACCGGATCGAGGACGAAAACTGAGCGAGCCCGGGAGGTCTGGACGGGACCGGGAGGATCTATATGTCTTCTGGACATGAGGGAGCAAAGGTGGCGGTCGAAGAAGGGCGGAAGTTGCGCGTAGCAGACATAGCGAGGAACGCCGGGACGGGGACGGGAGCATTCCAGGGACGGGGAGTTCAGGAGCGCATTGAGCTGACGCCCTCGAGAGATTGTGGATTTGGGTGTCGGTCCGAGGGGCGACGTTGAGAAAAAGTTGAGGAGCTGTCTTGAAGCTTGACTGTGCCAAGACATACAGGGCTGGCACTGGCAAGCGCGTTCTACAGTCTAACAGGGGTGCGGGGGTTGCAAGCACGGAGCTTCGAGGCGCCGACATGCTCGACAGCCATTATTAGAGCTCTCCCACAACAACTTGGCTGTCCTCTCTTCTGCTGTTTGTGTACACAGCTGAATTGTCTTCTGCTGAACGTGCCTCCACCCACCTCCGCCCTTCCCCGCCTGTTGCCCGCTTCGATCCTCTTCCCAGCGTGGGGCAGCCCACCTCTCCCCCGCCATCATGGGTGTCTCCATCATAGAGTTGCAACGCGATAGTACGCAAGTCCAGAACGGAGCACATGGCTAGGATTCTGTAACTGACTTCTATATAGTAATTATTGGCACAATAAAAGCCATCACCGGAGGAGACGTACGCTTCATCTGCATCCATGCGCCGCCCTGTTCTGACCTCTGCCGCAGTGGAAGGTCTTGGTCGTCGACGAGGAGAGCCGCAGACTCATAGATAACGTTGTCAAAGAGGATGACATCTTGAACGAGAACATAACAAGTGCGCCCTGGTTCCTCCTCTGTCGCGTGGATTAAGACCTGACGTGTCCCGCAGACATCGAGCGCATCGAGGACCGCCGACCCGATCAGAAGGACACAGATGCCGTGTACTTCCTCACGCCGAAACCACATATCGTGGACTGCATCATGGCCGACTTTGAGCGCAAGCGATATCGAGGCGCCTTCCTGCTATGGACCAGCTGTACGCTGCCTCATGCGTCGCCTTGACTCCGGGCTAACCTTTGGCCAGTGCCCGCTCGCGTGCTCCAAGAGCGCATCGAAAGGTCGCATACCGCACAGCAACAGATACGCAGTTTCAAGGTGCTGCAGCTGGATTACTTTCCTCGCGAATCCCACCTAGTGACGTTCCGGGACCCCTATAGCTTCCCGCTCCTCTATCACCCCGACTGCAATGACCTAGTCGCAAAACACATGGACGCCATTGCCGAAAAGGTGGGTATTCTCAAAGTCGTCGTCATACCGACTGACCCCCCGAACAGATTACAGGAGTTTGTGTCGCCCTGGGCGAGTATCCCACGATACGTTACTATCGACCCAGAACACCAACACACGAAGCGAGCGTCCTCTGCTCGCACCTTGCTCGTTTCGTGCAGGACAAGCTAGACATGTACGCTCAGTACAATCGTGACTTCCCTCCTCAGTCGAATCGGCCTCGGGGTGCGTTGTATATCACAGATCGTTCCATGGACCTGTACGCTCCTCTACTACACGAGTTTACCTACCAAGCGATGGCACATGACTTGTTGAACATAAAAGAGGGGGACAAAGTAACCTATCGAACAGTTATCAACGAGGGCGAGCCCGGTGCAGAGGAGAAAGACATGGAAATCAGCGAAAAAGACAAGATTTGGGTCGAAAACAGGCATCGGCATATGAAGGATACGATCGACAAACTAATGAGCGACTTCCAGCGATTCATTGCTGAGAACCCGCACTTTACCAACCAGGACAGCCAAAACGCCGCTGGTGTGAACGGACTGAATGCGATCAAGGACATGCTTGCTGGCCTTCCCCAGTTTCAAGAGATGAAGGAGGCGTACTCACTACATTTGACCATGGCACAGGAATGCATGAACATATTCCAACGGAACAAGCTCCCAGACCTCGCGTCCATTGAGCAGGTGCGTTGTCCATATTCTGCCACTACTAGAGGCTGACCATAGCATAGTGTTTAGCTACTGGCTTGGACGAAGACTATCGCAAGCCCAAGAGTATGGCTGACCAGGTTGTCCGCTCCCTCGACGAGGAGTCAGTCGTCATACCAGACCGCTTGCGCCTCGTCATGCTTTATGTCCTCTACAAGGATGGAATCCTTCCCAGCGACTTAGAGAAGCTACTTCTCCACTCACAACTTCCACTCAGCGACGGCGAAGTCGTCAGGAACCTAGAGATGCTGGGAGCGCGGACATCGAAACGTGTGAAAGAGAAGCGAGATCCTCTGCCACCCCTGTTTACTCGCGCAAATGCGCCTCCGCCCAATGCGGAGGAATACGCTCTGTCACGGTTCAAGCCGGCATTGGGTCGCATGCTTGAGGAGCATGTGCGTGGCACCCTTGCACAGGACGTCTTCCCATACACGAGGCCTCAAGCAGAGGATGCATACTCTTCTGGCCAAGACAACGTTTCGTCATTACGCTCCGCGAAGCCCACCTGGGCGAAATCTCGGCTTTCCAGCGTAGAACCGCGCCAGCGCGTCATCGTTTTCGTCGCGGGTGGTGCGACATACTCAGAGGCTCGCGAATGCTACGAGACGAGCCAGAAAACATCTCGAGATGTCTTCCTGGTCACATCGCACATGACCACGCCCGGGCTGTACCTGAGGCAGCTAGGCGATCTGAGTGTCAGCCGTCGAAACCTTCGACTTCCTGCAGACGCGCCGCCACCAAAGGCACCAGCACACCTTTTCGAGAAGCCCGAACCTCCTAGGCCTACCCCTCCGCCGGCGGGTACTAGACATGCTCCTCCCCCGGGTGGTGCTAGACCCGCCGCCGCAGGGCTGCCCTCAAGGCCCGGCGGCGGCCCGGCACCGCCGACAGATCGACTCGCCAACATGTCGCTGAATTCCAGCCGACCTCAAGGCGGGTCTTCCAGCGGACCAGGAAGCCATTTATCGAGCGGGAAGTTGACGAAAGACGGAAAATTGACGAAAGAGCATGACGAAAAGAAGAAGAAAAAGAAGCATCATTTCTTCTCTTCGTCGAAGTCGTAGTTAGCGGGCCTGTTCCTGTGTGCATGCGAGGTGTTTGTGGTTCCGTGCTTGGTTTGAGATATGATGTTTTGCTTTCGATTGGGGGGATAGATAGCATGGCATTGCTTCGGCGCTGTGGGGATTGCAGTTGTTGTGTATGGATACCATGTTTTGGAGCAAGTAATACCATTGCATTGAGATGTGCGGCCTTGCATGGTGAACTCCACTGTCCTCTGCCAATGCTTTCTGTCTTTTGGAATAGGAAAGGCGGTCCAACCGCGAAGGCAGCCAACGCTGCCTGTGAAGATTGCCTCGTTTGGAAAGATTGGAAAAGGTGGAGATGCTCCATCAACAGGTGGGCCCTCAAGGAGCACTCAACTGAGAACCGCTGATTTGATAATGCCTTCATTACTGCCCAGCAATTACTACAGCAACTTCCCAAGCTAATTTTACGAAGAAATGCTCATATTTAGGACTCCTCAGTACGGCAAAAAGAGAGCAGCCGGCAAAAGAAGCATCGAACAGATAAGGCAAAAAATTAATGCGCCAACCGGGAATCGAACCCGGCCCACGTGCTTGGGAAGCACGTATCCTAACCACTAGACTATTGGCGCAGTGTAACTAGTTACTAGTCGATTGATGGAGGAATGGGTGGCAAATGTGTTTATGAACCAATGTAACATGGGATGGAATAGGCTTGCTGAGGTGGGAGCAGCGTGTAAGCTAGGTGAAAGGAAGCGGTTTTCAGAAACAGCGACATAGAGCCGGGCAAGAACGCACTCGCCAAAGGTTTCCATTCCATCAAGATTCGATCACTGTCAAGGCTCTCTCTCGCCGTTGGAACCCACGAGCTTTACATGACTTCCTGCCCCCAGCTTCCCCGGCTTGCATGACTCGCGCATCCTTACCTCCATCACCACTCCTCAAGCCACCGCCTACATTCACATCCAACAACACAATCAACCCAATGCCATCAACTCGACCCCCAAGCATACACATCCTCGGCACCGGAAATCTCGGCTCGCTGCTCGCATTCGCCATTCGCAAACACCACCCTCACATCCCCGTGACATTACTATTTCACCGGCCGAGTCTAGCGCGCGAATGGCGGGATGCGGGTGAGAAGATTACCGTAACCAAGAAAGGGGTGGTCCAAAGTTTGGGATGGTTGGGGGTGGAGTATTTGGGATCTGGTGAAGAGCCCGAGACAGGGCGAATCGAGAATCTGATTGTTGCGACGAAGAGTTACAAGACTGTTGAAGCGTTGAGGCCGTTAGTGGGGAGGTTGGAGCGCGGGGAGGGGAAGAGGGAAAAGAGGGCGAGTGTTTTGTTTTGTCAGAATGGCATTGGTATGTTTTTGCTTGCGCTTCTGCTTTTTTTTTTCGTTCCTCTTGTTTCACGATGATATTTATCGATCACGTATTGATAAGTGCACAGGTACCATAGACTCCACCCTCCCCCTCTTCCCCAACCCCCAAACCCGCCCATACTTCCTAACCGGCATCTTCAACCACGGCATCTACACCAACGCCCCCTTCTCCATCACCCACGCCGGCATCGCAAACGCATTCATCGGCCCCGCGTTTTCCTTCGACACCATGACGCCCACCAAGCCATCTTTCCATATCCGAAGACAACGTAACTCTAATCAAAACACCTACACCTCAAATAGATCCCTCCTAAACACCCTATCAACTTGCCACTCCCTCTCCATAACACCCACGCCAGCCCTCCCACTCCTCCACATCCAACTCGCCAAGCTCGCCGTCAACGCCGTGATTAACCCACTCACCGCGCTCTTCCGTGTGCAGAATGGCGTCGTGTTTGAAAATGAGCATACGCGACGTCTCGCGGAACTTCTCGTTGCGGAGTTGTCTCCTGTTTTACTGGGAACGCTGGAGCGCGTGTCTCAGGACCTATCGCTGCACGCAGAGTCACGCGCCCGATTCTCGGTTCAGGGTTTGATGGATGAGGTAAAAAGGGTGTGCGAGATTACGAAGGAGAATAAGAGTTCGATGAGGCAGGATGTGGAGGCTGGACGGAAAACGGAGGTGGGGTTCATTAATGGGTGGGTTGTTAGGATGGGGAGGGAGTTGGGTGTGGATGTGAGATTGAATGAGAGGGTGGTGGAGTTGGTTGAGGGAGGGGTGAGGGTGGATGCGGGGGATGAGGGGAATGTGAGGGAAGCGTTTGGGGTGTAGGGTTGGAAGGATGAGTGCCAAACAATATACACCGGATAAGTCAGTGCGGAAAACGGGATAATTGACTCAAATACGGTCTGATTTGGGGTGAAATCTTGCCCGATTTACACCCGGCACAATTTTCCATCCTGCAGGGATGACGGTAGCAGATGTGAAGTTGAAGAGACTGATTGAAAGGTCCGAGTCAGGCCGTGAAAAAATCAAATTCTATTGTAGTTTTCTCATAGTTTCTCTGTCTACGCACAGCCTTACTGGCTCTCAAAATCGCAAGTCAATAAGATGCATGACTGGTAGAGTCCCGTGCAAGGATGGCTAGTTCACGTTCGTCGGCCTCCGCAGTGCCGAGTGTCAACCAGTGGATGACCACAACAGACCATGTCACTGCGATTCGTCAGTCAAGGGCGGATTATACTCTCCGCGTGGTGCCTACCGTCAACTGAGCAGATAGTCAAACATAGCCAACCCAGTTCTCGGCCTTCCATGGTACAAAGTTGCGATGTTCCCAACTGTGGGCAACATGACCAACAGGGATCCGATAAGTGTTCTCCAGAGTAACCCCTCGATTGACTTTTGCAGGCTCTCATTGACGGTATAAACGTCCAGGCTCTGCTGGCGTGAACTGTTGTGGTTGGCCCTGCGTATTTTGCTCAGACACCCAGACGAATTAGCGGCGTTCCAGAAATTGCTGAACCGTAACAGCGGCCTGAGCAAGTAAACGAAGATCGCGGTCAGAGCCAAATTTATGAGAACATCGGATGTGAGAAGCGGAATCGTGATTTTGAGTGGAAGGCCGATGCGACAGCGTCCGTCCTGGAGTGATACTTCGGAGATGGGCCACCGAAAGCCACATATCGCTATACTCCCGATGCCTATAGTGATGACGAACATGCCGGAGAGTCAGATATTGTCAGACGTACGCCTTACAAAAGGGGCTCTCATTGCGTGTGCGCGCTCGACCAGGAACAGGTACCTACGGGGCTTATCAGTGATGATGCACAAAAGACTCGAAACCACGGAGAGGGTGCGTGAAAGAGTTCGAGTCAGCACTAGAAGCGCGGCGTCGTGGTTTGGGCGTCTTAAACTGGCTCTGTGACGAGCTGAGACTCACATAGCGACCTTGGCCCCAATATAAAAGACCAAGCAGATGAGTATCGCCGTGTGGCATACAGACGGAGATGACAGGCCAAGGCTAGACTCGACGACAGCCGCAGACGTGACGAAGGATATAGCCAGGGCATAACAGGTGAAGACGAGGAAGCTGGTCAGGTTCATCTTCCTGATATGCTGTCGCCCTATCTGGCGTGCCCGATATCCTGGTTATGGTCAGTGGGGATAAGTGCAATCTAGAATGACGTACCCAGAGTGCCGGTAAGGACGGACAAGCAGACTATGGAAAGAATGGTAAACCCGGTTCGAGAACCTGAATCTTCGCCAGTTAAGGTGGATCTAGTAGTCGTGCCTGAACTCAGGGGCAGCCAGAGGTTAGAAGCAGAGACCGGGCTTGACACGGTACTGAAGTCGAGCATTGCGAACACAGGCGCAGTCAACGCCAGCAGAAGAAGATGTTACCTAGGCACTGCTGGGATCCGAATGGATATATTGACATTCCGCAAGCCAGATAACGGAGCGGTCGAGGATCTCAGATAACGGATGAGAAGAATCACAACGCATCCAGCGTGTTCAGGTGACACGTGCGACCATAACCTAGTAAAGAGATCAAAATCGCAACAAAACAAGGTGTCACCAAACAATGGGACGTCCAAGACCAGAAGTCAAGAAGACAGACGGCGAGACTGCCCTCCTCGCGGGCTTCGGGAAGAGCAACGAGCGGTTCGAATATCATGGGTGGCGGTCAGCTTTGGCCAGATATGATGATCGTACGTTCGGCAGCGTAAAAAGAATGATAGTAGTCTATAGGTAAAAAAAATTTGATCTAAAGATATTCGATTGATGTCCTGATGAAGCGACACGCTTGGTGCTGCACGAAATTCAGCCACACGTCCTAGGGAGGTTGGTAGCTTGAGAATAGTCCAATCCCCCGATCACGGTGCATCTAGTTGGCAATGTCAGTTGTCGCTTGCACTCGTTCAGTCTGTACTGAAGTGTGCGAAGCCATGGGTCAGCGGATAAGGGAAGATTCCGACGTTGCGAAACAGTGAACGCAGCCGTCGCTTTGAGTAGATACTGTCTCTGATGCCACGCATCGTCTGTGGCAGAGTTGGTAGCGTAACTGTCTCAGTTGACTGCGGACGTTGTACAGTAGAACAATGGCGCTATCCGCATGCAGAGAGGGGAAGTCAGCAAGGCGTGGTGAGGCGTGGTAAGGCGTGCTAAGCGCACGTCGGCTAGCCACTCTGTGTTGCCCCAGCGGGAGTGTAGATTGCATCGTCGTCATGGTACAGAGAAATACGTATCCGGCACTGAGAGCTGCATGGCCAAGTCCTCGTGCCCAAGAATAGCGGGCTGGGCCGCCATCATAGACCCCGCGCTGCGCTTCAATGACGATGTTATTGAGACTGATGCATTCGAGTCTCCGAGTCTGTTGATGACCATTTTGTGAAGATGGCTGCGAGTAGCGAAGTGCAGGAGTTGTAGAGTGAGAGGAGTGGTGAGAGAGTGTGAGGGGCGGCTGCTGCTGCGCCCCACGCTGGCCTCAGATGCGGCCGGATGGTTCGAGCGCCCGCGTTCCAATTTCCCGGCTAAGGATTCTAAGCCCCCCGATTCACAGCCCGTCTTCTTTCTTCGTTTCCCTAAGTCTTTCCTTTCTTTCCTCGACAACAACAACAACAACAACAACACCACAGCACCTGTCACCCGCATTTCCGACGACAGCTGTGCCTAGATCCGGCCTCGCTCCTGCCGGTATCCCGCCGCCTCCCATACAGCCTGCAGCGCTGCTCCGGACCCCATTCGATCTGCACATTCTCCGAGAGCTGAGCATTTCCCGCTTCACAGGATACCCAGGATCGCCATGCGAAGAAACGTGGTTATCTTCATTATTATATCGGCCTTGGTCCTTATATACGCAGTACACAGCGTGTGGATACTGCTAAGTCTCCTGGTCTTCGACGGCTCCGAGGATGCCATATCGCGCGCCGAGCTGCCCGCCCCCAAATCCGGCGCAATCAGCGAACGTCCGCAGTTGATTCCCAAGATCATTCACCAGACCTATGTGAATGACAGCATACCCGAGCACTGGATCGCCCCGCAAAGAAGCTGCTTGGATTTACACAAGGACTACGAATACAAGCTTTGGACAGACAAGAAGGCGAGGGAGTTCATTGCCGCAGAGTATGCAGAGACCCAGATACAAAGAATGGACCTTGACTGACCGATGCAGGTATCCTTGGTTCCTCGAGACTTTTGACGGCTACACGTATCCCATTCAGCGCGCCGACGCGATACGATACTTT